GAAAACGTGCAAAGCACTGGTGGCATTCTTCTTTTAGAATTACCTTCAGCAGAGAGACTATTTTTGTGCTTTACGGCTCCATGTTACTTCTAGCTAAAAACCAAATAATCCAATTAATTCTCTCTTTACTCTCTACACTGGCTCCAAATGCTTTTTTAAAGAATTTATTTTATTTTTAATTATGAGCACATGTATGTGTTCATGTGTGTGTGAGTGCAGGTACCCTGGGAGTGGAGAAAAGCTGGATCCCCTGGATCTGGTGTCACAGGTGGGTGTGAGCCCCCACATGGGCACTGAAGTCCTCTGCAAGAGCAGCAAGTGCCCTTAACTCCAGCCCCAGCCCAGTGACTTCTCACTGTTTCCAAAGGTCAAATAATTTCAAGAGTTATCTTTATTCACAAAGATTATGTCACATAAAAGTTCCAACAGTAGCACTTTGGGAACATTTAAAGATGGACTGACTTAAGGAATTAAAATAGAGGTTAAGCAAAGTCTACATAATAACTCTGAAGGAAGAACAGCATTCATTCATATGTAAGGATTATAGTGTATTTTGATGGAAAAATATATTTCATAATTCATTGCCAGTAACTACACTAATTTGCTGAAATCAAGTCTTTATGATAGGCAGGCTTTATAGTTCACATGCAGGAGCCTCTATATCCTGGTGGTTGAGAATATGCTTATGATAGAAACCAGGACATAACAGAGAACATTGCCAAGGACTATGAGGGGATCAGTTATAAAAGGGTTCTCTTCAGGAAGTGTTAATGGAAAGCTAGAGTAAGACTATAAAAGACATTCCAGAGAAAGGCCATTTCCAGCTCATTGGAGACCAGTAAATTCTCCTGAATGAGCCAAGCACATATGAACACTCACAGCATCTATTCTTGTTGCCAGAATTTTAGCAACCAGAATTTATTCTGGAAACATTATCCCAATAATGGGGCTAGGAAGTCACATAATAGACACTAACATAGTATGGATGGTAGTCTTACAATGTATGGGGAAAATGAACTGGGGAACCAAGACACAAGACAGAATACTTTTTTTAAAAAATGTATTTTATGGCCTGTCATGTGGCTCAGTCAGTAGAGTGCTTGCCTCTAACTCAAGATGGCATACACCTATAGCCCAGGCATTCAGAAGGCTACGATTAGTTTATACTGTAAGTCACACTGTTTAAAAAGTAATTTAGTTATTTTAATCATTTTGTCAGGGTTTGGGGTTGGTTTTATAGGCAGGGTTTCATATAGCCTTGAATTCCTGACCTTCTTGCCTCTACCTCATAAATGTCAAGTTTACAGGAGTATATGAACCATGTCCTACTCAACTATATAATTTTGAGAAAAGGTTTCCCTGTAGTTCTGGCTGTCCTGGAACTCACTCTGTAGAGTAGGCAGGACTCAAATTCACAGAGAACTGTCTGACTCTGACTCCCAAGTGCTGGGGATAAAGGTGTGTGACATCATGCTCAGCTCAACTTCATCATTTTTAAAACTTATCACTCACAGGAAGTCCCTACCTAATCTGTAAAGTCTTGACATCTCATGGGAAAGGAACCAGCTGTTTAATAATGAAAATGCTAACTATGAAGTGAGGCTTACTTAATGCTTATGGAGAGGGGTGAATTAAACAAAACTAAGGATAAGAAAAAAAAAACATGAAAAGCCACTACTTTGTTAACTAACTCAAAAAATATATAAAGTGGCCCCCAACATATCTTACAGTTGTATTACTCTGACAGAGGAGCTGAATTCCATTTTCAGCACCCATGATGGGTGGATTTACACCCACCTTTAACTCCAGCTTCAGGGAATTCAACACTCTTTTCTTTCTTCCACAGGCACCTGCACTTACATGTTCATGCCCGCACACAGACACACATGTACATGTACTTAAAAAATAAAATCTTAGAGACAGACAGACAGACAGACAGACAGACAGACAGACAGACAGACACACAAACACAGAGAGACCGGGGATTCTGAACATAGGTACCCTGTATGAGTGGATGTTTCCCTTAGAAGACATAGATTATGAAGTGAAAATCTCAGTGCCAGGTGTGGGAAAACTCCCTATGAGAGTTATAAGTCAGGGAGGCCCCCAGACAAGAAGCTTCACCATTGCCCATCATAACGGAAGCCCCATTGCTGATGACACACATTTTGGTTACCGGACACAGAGAAATCAAACTGAGTTGACATACAAAATTCCCGCCTTCTGGCCAGCTTTCACAGTGTCAGAAGGTTACGTAGGTTGTGTGAGGAGGAAAATTACTAATATTGACCAAAAAAGCAAGATAGTCCCACATCTGGTACAATAGTGATGTGAAGATTATGAGGTTAACCCACTGCTTTCTGACTGGACTTGAGGCCTGCTCCACAGAAGGGAATTCCTATCTGGTACTGTAAAGCTGAAAACCCGTGGCTGGCGAGGTCATAGGCCATGGGGGACAGGGAGACCTATTACTGTTGTTTTGCTAAGCAGACATGTGATTTTTAGGTTGTATCTATAATTAATACTATATCATGTAAATATTTAGGTTATATCTATAGATTCACACACTCTCAGCCTTGGTCATAGAGACTTCTTTTTACGGTGGCAGTAAATGTATCAACATAACTGGTCAAAGTGTGGAGAACAGGTAACTGCTGAGTGTTCAATCTTAAACAGAATATCTATTCCAACCTTCCCCCGCCTCTCCCCAAGTCTCCAAAGTTCAGGAACATTGTGGGAGATGGCTTATCTATTCCACCCTCCCCCCGCCTCTCCCCAAGTCTCCAAAGTTCAGGAACATTGTGGGAGATGGGGCAGAAAGGATGTAAAAGCATGGGAAGGGGAGGAGTGCTGTCAAATTCTGTCTTCTGGATATGGCACTCACGAATATACTCAAGTTATGGCTACCTGAACAAGACCTTTGAAAAGAGCAAGCCAATACCATTAGTCACCACTCCAGCAGCTACATCAACTAACTGGACTCAGTGAGTTACTGGATGTGGGAAGGGGCATGTTGGTGTGTGTGTGTGTGTGTGTGTGTGTGTGTGTGTGCTCGCGCTCGCGTGTGTATCTGCGGGATTTTGGGTAGGTATGATTACACTGTATGTGTATGAAACTGACAGAGAGTAAGTAAAAGACTTTTTAAAGGGGGGAAAAGGCTAAATGACAGCTCAGAAAAAAATGGCCGTCAACATTATGCTCCCCAGAGGCTACTTTATGAGTGACTGAAGTTTAAAGCTAAAGTATTAAAAGCTATTAGTATTTGCCAGGAATGGTCACCCATGTCTGCAATCCTAGCATGTGGGAAGTGGTGGCTGAAGGAGCATGAAGGAGTTCAAGATTGCCCTCAGCTACATATTGAGCTGGAGACCAGAATACCTCAACTTCCAACTCCAAAATTTTATGTTGACGTTTTGTTAAATGCTTTGGGTACTCATGAGCTTAATCAAACTAAGGGGAAACAATAAAGAATATGTAAGAAATGTGAACTTTTAGAAATTTAAAATATTTCACAAGGAAAAAAAATGACAAAATTTAAGCATACATGCAAAGAGTAAAAAACATAAGGAAACAACTTTAAAAGCTATTTGAGGTAATGCAGCAACCTACAGACTGTCAGACTCTGACACCCACTAGTTTTTGGTGTGTTTTTATTTTTGTGGTTACTTATTTATTTGAGATAGGGGATGATGTAGGCTTGGCAAGCCTGAAACTCCCTCTGGAGCTGAAGATGACCTTGAATTCTGATCCACCTGTTTTCATCTGCCAAAAGCTGGGGTGAAGGGTTCCAGCCCTCAAGAACACAAGTCTGATGTACCATATCCTTAGTCATGGGAACTATAAGGTCGTGCATTTTAAATGCTGGGAGATAGATTCTCAAAGTCTGCTCTTTCTCCCTGAAGGGAGGCACAATGCTCCCCTGGTTTCAGAACTTCGGTAAAGTTCCTTCAAACTTGTATGATTCATAAGAGTGGCAAAAGGCTAGAATCCCAGTTTTCTCACCCGTTCGTGAAGTGCTTTTCCTACTTATACCATCCAGCTCAAGGAACCATGGAGAGAGACAGTGAGGCAAGATGACAGTTCAGGCTCGCTAGCCCAAGAAGGTGGAAAGTAGGTTCTCTAAAGGTCTTGTTGCTTCCTCAAGCCAGTTTACTCCCGCGTGAGCTTGGCTTCCTTACCTGCATCTGACTTAAGAGCATCATGGCCCACCCACTTTAGTGTCAGGTCCTCGGAGGCTTGTTGCAAGCTAGGTAACCCACCGTCCCACCCTCCAGTTCAGCAAAGACGTGTCCATAACTTCAACCCCAGCTTGGCACTCACTCCCTTCCTCGGAGTTCCGTGACTCTACTACCGCTCACAGCCACTTAACTCCTTCCAATGCACAAACGTAGCATTTGGCACTGCAACCAACTCCTGCTCTTGTGGGCACTCTGGCTCCGCAGGGCCAGCCCGGCCCTCACTGCCCCTCCGTCCCTCGGCTCGGCAGTGCCGCTCCCTCACTGCCCCCTCCTCGATGCCACCCGCGTCCTTCTCAGCAAAGGCCGCCCCTCGGGCCCCGTGCCGCGCGGAGCCCCTTCCTCCCCCGGCCATCACAGCCCCGATGAGGTACAGCAGCAACAGGCAGAAGGTGCTTAGGTTCTGCGGGGCCATGGTGTCGCCTGGTCCCGCACTCTCAGCCTCCCGTGCCGCTGCGTCTGCTGACCAGCCCTTCCGGCCCTGAGAGGCCGCCTCACGCCCGGGTCTCTTGCCGGGCCGCCGAGACAGCTAGCGCGCCCCCTCCTCAGCTGCCACTTTCCGGGAGCCCCAGAGCCGGCGAGCAGCCAGGCATGGGCCAATCGCCGCCGGGGACATCACACGCGGCCGCCTCAGCGCGGTACACTTCACCTCCGAGGCGGCTCGGACAGCCAGTCAGACAACGGAACTGCCGCCGCTGCTGCCGGCCAATGGGAAGAGGAAACGTCAGAGGTTCGCGCCGCCCGGAAGTGCCTGCGAATAGGAGAAAATCTCAGGCGGAGGGGAGCGCGCTGCGAGGAAACCCGAGTGGTCCACCAATCGGGAGACTCCTTCCCAGCTCTGACCAATTGCTCGCAAGAGGTCTTAACTCGGTTTTCCAGTCTGGAAACTACGTCGCGTGCGCCCGGGACGCGCGGGATCCCTGAGGTGCAACCCCAGGAGGGTGGGCGATCACTCGGTGTCAGAGTACTTGGGGCGCCTTACCTAAGGATGCGATCTCACAGTACAAATTTAGTACATATAGTCTCGATTTCGTAGAAAAGAGGCCCGGTACCTTATAGAGAAGCCGCCGCGGAGACCGACTTAAGTTCAGATTCGGCTTCCAGCACTTCGCAGCGGTGAGACATCCCCACCCCCACCCCGCTTCCGAACCCGTTTTCGACAAAACTTAAGGCGTGGCGGCGTTCACTGGTAGTGTTGGGAATTTTTAATTGACATGTTTTCTGTAAGTTTTCCAGTAGAGTTGCACATAGTAAGCATGCAATCAATAAAAGCCGTTATTATAGTTCGGAGCAGAGCTTGTTCGTTGGTTCTTTTCTCCAGTTTTGTTAACTACAGAAAGCTAGTTGTTTAGCAAAGCCTCTCCTCTTAGCTTTGCTTCCTACATGAGCTATCTAGATCTTTACCAATGAACGGTATCTTGATTATGTCCAGTACAGCTCCATCTCTGGCCCAAGTCACAATTATCTCTTGCTTGCAAAGGTCTCTTAACGATCTTCTCCCTCCAAACTTTATATATCGATCCATTATTTTAATGTACTCCTACTCTCCACCCCATGATCGTGTGCATGCGTGAGCGCACTAGGGACCTGGAGACCACAGATTAGACTAGGCAGGTGGACTTGGAAGACCAAGGTCCTGTCTCTGTCTCCCCAGCTCTGGGGTTTCAGGCGGTTGTTGCCGCAGTTGCTGCTATGCGTGGAATTCAAGGTCTCCTGTTTATACAGCAAGTAAGTGGCAAGCTTTATGGACTGAACTATCTCCCCAGCGTCCTCGTGATTTTTAAAAAGTATTTCAGATCATGTCACTCTCCTGCTTAAAAGCCTCTAATGGCTTTTCAATGTACTAAAAGTAAAATGTCAACTCTATTGTAACTTACAAAGCTGTCTAGTTTAACAATCAGTATCCTCACCTCTTAAAATGTTCCAGAATAATCAGCTTCCTTCCTCCTTTTAAAAAATTTTCATTGTATATATTCATTGCATACGGCACTTTCTTGCATCAGCAAATTATGTACACGGAGCATATTCCTCCTCTTACCATATACCCTCCTACCTTTTTCTCTCTGTTCTGTTATCCCCTTCGTTTCTCTACAGTTCTGCCTCTACTTTCATGCCATATATATATATACGTATGTAATTTTAAGTACCTATATAAAATCTAGGAACCAAAACGAAAGAAAACATGTATCTGTCTCTCTGAGATTGGCTTAATTCCCTTAAGATGAATATTTCCAGCTGTATCCATTTTCCTGTAGACAGCATAACTGTATTCTTTATGTTGGAAAAAAGATCATTGTGTACATAAACTAAACTAGGTTAGTTCTGTAACTTAGCTATTGTGAATAGTGCTGGAACAAATATGGATGTTTTATCAAAACCTTTTTCTGCATTAATGAAAAAAGGCTTATTTTTCTGTGCATGGGTTCTTTGCCTGCATGTAAGCCAGTGCATGCCCGTTGCTCAAGGAGGCCAAAAGAGGTTGGAGGATCCCCTGGAACTGGAGTTGCAGATGGATGTGAGCAGCCATTTTGGTGCTCGAAATCAAATCCAGGTCTTACAGAAGAACAGTAAATGTTCTTAACCTCTGAGCCATCTCTGCAGCCTGGCTCGAAAGTGTTGTATTGAGAATTTTTACATCGTGTTCATTAGGGAGATATATCTATAATTTTGTTTCTTTGTAGTATCTTTATCTGGTACTAGTAGTAGGGCAAACTGATTTTATTTCTAAAAAGTTATTTTATAGATTACTTTGAGAAATGTTGGTGTTTTTCCTAAAGGTTTGGTAAAATTCTGCAGTGAATCTATCTGGGATCTGGGCTTGGGCTTGTCTTAGCCACTGTTCTATTGCTGTGAAGAGACACCATGACCAAGGCAACTCTTACAAAATAAAGCACTTAATTGGGGCTTGCCAACAGTTTCAGAAGCTTAGTTCATTACCACAATGGCAGAGATCTTGGTGACATGCAGGAAGATGCTGGAGCAGTAGCTGAGATCCACAAGCTGAGAGAGAGAGAGAGAGAGAGAGAGAGAGAGAGAGAGAGAGAGCGCACCTAGGCCTGGCAAGGGCTTTTGAAACCTTAAGTCCACTCCCTAGTGACACTCTTCCTCCAACAAGGTCACACTTAGTCCTTCTAATCCTTTCAAAGAGTGGAGACTGGTGACTAAGCATTCAAATATATGAGCCTATGAGGCCATCTTTATTAAAAAAAAAAAGAAATCCACCACAGAACTCTTTTTAGTTGGAAGATTTTTATTGTTTTATTTATTTATTTATTTATTTATTTATTTTTACTGCTTTAGTATTGATGCTTGTTACACAGTTGTTTAATCTATCTACTTCTTATGTATGTGGCAGTTTGTTTAGTTCTAGAAATTTATCCATTTCTTTTAGGTTGTCCTGGTGATGGGAATTTCATTGGTATCTTGCAATGGTTCCTTTTAATCTCTGATTTTGTTGATTTAGGGCTCCTCTCTGTGTTGGTTAGTTTGGGTAAGGATTTGTTGATCCTGTCATATGGAGGTTAGAGGGCAAACTTGCTGTAGTCTGTTCTCCTTCCACCATGTCAGTCCTAAGTCTTGAATTTAGGTGGTTAAGCTTGGTGGCAAGTGCCTTCACCTGCTGAGCTGTGTCCTAATTTCATTTCTGTTGCTATGATAAAAATAACCTGAAAAAAGATGACCCAGGAGAGTAAAATGTTCCTTTGGCTTACAATTCCAGGTTACATAAAAAGTCCTATAATTGCAGAGAAGTCTCAGGGCAGGAGTTGGAAATAGCTGGTCACACCACATCCACAATCAGCAGAGACAAATGTACTGTGTTACAGTTCTGAAGGGAAAGGTATCCAGGCTGTCAGAAACCAGGCTACATCTATAGCTCTGTTCTGGGGGGACAGCTTCCCCCCAGGAATGTAGTACTCCTGCTTCTCTCAGAGAGAGCTGAAATAGCTCACCTCTGCTCCACTCTGCTAAGAGAGTTTCCCCTGTAGAAGTGTCCATTGCTTCTCTGCTCTGCTCCACTAAGTTTCTTCTTTGCTTCACTCTGCTAAGGGGGAAACCCCAGCAGAAATGTAGCAGTTGGCTCCTGCTCCAGTGAAAGTTGTTAACTTTTCTGCCATGCTCCACTCTGGGGAAAGATCTTCACCCAAAACTTATTCAAGAGATTTATTGGAAGGGAAGAATCCAGGAGGATGGCTGGCTGCCTCTGCCAGGGTAGAAAAGGCAATTCCCAACTGAACAGGCACAGGGCTTATATAGGGCTTCTTGGGGGCGGAGTTTTTCCAGGGTGAAAATTTTCAGGGTGGGAATTAGTTTTATTCCATTGATGACAGATAACATACATACATGAGGTTATTTCAGTTTTCCAATATTTGTTAAGACTTACTCTGGAGAAAGTTCTATGGGATGTTGAAATGACTGTGTTTGGATGAGATGCTTTGTAGATGTCTGTTAGGTCTATTTGATCTAGGATGCTGTTTAATTCAGGTGTTTATTTGTTGTCAGGATAGCCTGTGTATTGGCGAGAGTGGGATATTGAAGTTACCCATTATTGTCCTGCGGCTAACCTGTGTCTGTGCCTATCTCTAGTGGTATCTGTTTTTATATAATTTGGTGCACTTGTGTTTGGGGAATATATTGATTTGGAATAGAAATGTCTTCTTGATTGATTGTTCCCTTAATCAATATGAAGTGACCTTATCTTTTCTGAATAGATTTGGTTTGAAGTACAGTTTGTCAGAAAATAGAACAGCAACACTTATCTGTTTCCTATGTTCATTTTCTTGGCATACCCATGGCCTTTTCCTTTCACCCCAAAATAGTATCTGTCCTTGATGGTGAGATGCATTTCTTGGAGGCAACAACAAAAGTGGATTTTTTTGAAAAAAATACAATTTGCTAGTCTGTAGTCTGTGTCTTTTGATTGTGGAATCAAGGTAGTTAAGATTCAATCTGGAGCAGTGCACGGTGGCCCACAACTTTAATCCCAGCACTCAGGAGACACAGGCAGGTGGATCTCTGTGAGTTGGAAGCCAGCCTGGTCAATGAAGATAATTAAGATTCAATTATGAATGAAAAGTATGTATTAGTTCCCATTGGTTTGTTGTTTTGTAGTGTTAGGTGTTTTCCTGTTTTTGTTTATTTGGTTTCTGTTCCATTTTCCTTGGCCTTGTGGTTATGTTATCTTTCTCTCCATTGTGAAGGAGTCCTTCGGATATCTTCTGCAGACCTAGACTATTGGTCAGGGATTCGTTAGTCTTTTTTTTTTTTTCCCCCCCATATAAAGCCCTCCTTTCTCCTTCAGTTATGCCCAATAGCTTGGGTATGATAATATGGGCTGGAAGTTGTTGTCTTTCGGAACTTAAAATGATTCTAAGCCTTCTTGGCCTTTGAAGCGTGTGTTCAGGAATTTGTTTTTATTCTGATAGCCTGCCTTTACATGCAACTTGGTCTCTGTGATTTCCAGTGGACTTCCTTTGTTCTGTATATTTAGTGCTTTCACTGTAATATCATGTGCCATGGCCGCAGGTCAGGTTCCCTGAGATGGGGAAGGGGTGCTGGCACAAATAATGAAGTAGTGTCCAGTCACCAGATGAGTTTCACACAAGTGGCCCTTGAGCCATCTTTGTTTATACTTAAAAAACAAGCATACTGACACACATGTTTTTCCCACCCTCCAATGTTAACCTCCGGCAAAAACAATTATGTCAGATATGTTTTTTTTTTCCCAGCTTTTATATCAAAACGTCTTTAAACCAAAAACAACACTTGCCATTTTGCTAGCTTGGCCAAATATCAAGCCAGGCACATCCTGTCTTTATAAAACTAAAAGCTGTTAAATATAGGCACACATTTTCAAAAACAACAATCTCATTCAAAATATATTATTTACAGAAATTTGGGTGATCTCCTCCCTCCCCCAAATCCTGTTAGCACTGAATTAGAACAGCCCCTGTGATCTGAGGTGACAGATCACAGCATCAGCTTCAAAGAGTTTTAGGGGAAAATACTTGAGAAAAAGTGGGGTTTCTAGGAATGATCATTTCTGTCCCATGCATGATTGACAAAGTGCCACTTAAACTGCCAAGAGAATCATCAATATTATGAGGGAGAAGAGAGTG